TTCCCCTGTATGGTGTAGCTGCCTTCCCACTATGGTGTAGCTGACCTTCCCCGTATGGTGTAGCTGCCTTCCCAGTATGGTGTAGCTGCCTTCCCAGTATGGTGTAGCTGCCTTCCCAGTATGGTGTAGCTGCTTTCCCAGTATGGTGTAGCTGCCTTCCCAGTATGGTGCAGCTGCCTTCCCCTGTATGGTGTAGCTGCCTTCCCAGTATGGTGTAGCTGCCTTCCATTGTATGGTGTAGCTGCCTTCCCAGTATGGTGTAGCTGCCTTCCCAGTATGGTGTAGCTGCCTTCCCAGTATGGTGTAGCTGCCTTCCCCTGTATGTTGTAGCTGCCTTCCCAGTATGGTGTAGCTGCCTTCCCACTATGGTGTAGCTGCCTTCCCACTATGGTGTAGCTGCCTTCCCACTATGGTGTAGCTGCCTTCCCAGTATGGTGTAGCTGCCTTCCCATTATGGTGTAGCTGCCTTCCCAGTATGGTGTAGCTGCCTTCCCAGTATTTTGTAGCAGCCTTCCCCTGTATGGTGTAGCTGCCTTCCCAGTATGGTGTAGCTGCCTTCCCAGTATGGTGTAGCTGCCTTCCCAGTATGGTGTAGCTGCCTTCCCAGTATGGTGTAGCTGCCTTCCCAGTATGGTGCAGCTGCCTTCCCCTGTATGGTGTAGCTGCCTTCCCAGTATGGTGTAGCTGCCTTCCATTGTATGGTGTAGCTGCCTTCCCAGTATGGTGTAGCTGCCTTCCCAGTATGGTGTAGCTGCCTTCCCAGTATGGTGTAGCTGCCTTCCCCTGTATGGTGTAGCTGCCTTCCCAGTATGGTGTAGCTGCCTTCCCACTATGGTGTAGCTGCCTTCCCACTATGGTGTAGCTGCCTTCCCAGTATGGTGTAGCTGCCTTCCCAGTATGGTGTAGCTGCCTTCCCATTATGGTGTAGCTGCCTTCCCAGTATGGTGTAGCTGCCTTCCCAGTATTTTGTAGCAGCCTTCCCCTGTATGGTGTAGCTGCCTTCCCAGTATGGTGTAGCCGCCTTCCCAGTATGGTGTAGCTGCCTTCCCAGTATGGTGTAGCTGCCTTCCCAGTATGGTGTAGCTGCCTTCCCAGTATGGTGTAGCTGCCTTCCCAGTATGGTGTAGCTGCCTTCCCAGTATGGTGTAGCTGCCTTCCCAATATGGTGTAGCTGCCTTCCCAGTATGGTGTAGCTGCCTTCCCAGTATGGTGTAGCTGTCTTCCCAGTATGGAGTAGCTGCCTTCCCCTGTATGGTGTAGCTGCCTTCCCAGTATAATGTAGCTGCCTTCCCCTTGTATGGTGTAGGTGCCTTCCCCTGTATGGTGTAGCTGCCTTCCCAGTATGGTGTAGCTGCCTTCCCAGTATGGTGTAGCTGCCTTCCCAGTATGGTGTAGCTGCCTTCCCCTGTGTGGTGTGGCTGCCTTCCCAGTATGGTGTAGCTGCCTTCCCCTGTGTGGTGTAGCTTCCTTCCCAGTATGGTGTAGCTGCCTTCCCAGTATGGTGTAGCTTCCTTCCCAGTATGGTGTAGCGGCCTTCCCAGTATGGTGTAGCTGCCTTCCCAGTATGGTGTAGCTGCCTTCCCAGTATGGTGTAGCTGCCTTCCCAGTATGGTGTAGCTGCCTTCCCAGTATGGTGTAGCTGCCTTCCCAGTATGGTGTAGCTGCCTTCCCTGTATGGTGTAGCTGCCTTCCCAGTATGGTGTAGCTGCCTTCCCAGTATGGTGTAGCTGCCTTCCCAGTATGGTGTAGCTGCCTTCCCAGTATGGTGTAGCTGCCTTCCCAGTATGGTGTAGCTGCCTTCCCAGTATGGTGTAGCTGCCTTCCCAGTATGGTGTAGCTGCCTTCCCAGTATGGTGTAGCTGCCTTCCCAGTATGATGTAGCTGCCTTCCCCTGTATGGTGTAGCTGCCTTCCCAGTATGGTGTAGCTGCCTTCCCAGTATGGTGTAGCTGCCTTCCCTGTATGGTGTAGCTGCCTTCCCTGTATGGTGTAGCTGCCTTCCCTGTATGGTGTAGCTGCCTTCCCTGTATCGTGTAGCTGCCTTCCCTGTATGGTGTAGCTGCCTTCTGGTCTCCTCTCCCTTTCCTATTCTCATTACCTTAGACTAGTTGGGATTTAATTCCAGAAACTATATGTTTGGCCACGCCTGGAGTTTGTCTAGGTCTTCCTGTTACTTCCTTCCTAATATGGGGGACAAGACCCCCATATTAATTTAATGAGAGGGAGTGTCCTTCAACATCACTGGAACACATATCATGTTCAAATATTAATCAATGTTTTAGGGGAGTGATAGACTAGCAAAAAATATTCCAGCTTACTGGCATTAATATAAATCCACATAACATTAAAAGAATAACCATCTACTAACTCTCACACACAATTACTTTATCCAGCTTCTCAGCAGCTGAGCATGATCAACAACTGGTCTGGAAACTGGATACAATCAGCACTATCCGACACCAGGACTATCCTTGCCCAGTGGGACACTAGCGCCTATTATGCTGCTAATACCAATAAAGAGTGGTGGTGTCACAACCAGTAACACATGAAGTATGAGGAAACAATCTAATATACAACACCTTGGCAATATTTTGTTTTTCAGAATAAATCACCTCACTAAGACATATAACAGCACTTACCACCTGGTATAAAAGATGCACAACAGTAGAAATGATCCATGGTATACAACACATCAACATGAGAATAATTCTAGCAGTCAAATAACACAAATAAGGTCACTAATCCCGGACGGATAACGCCACAGATGCCCTCGCCTGGGAGGATCAAAGAGTAGTGCCGCCTTCAGCCAAACTCACCGGGGCGCGACACTGTATCCAACCTCTGTTAGTCAACTGACCCACAACTGTCAAATATCTCAAACTCATTATCAGACATAACTCGATCAAGAACTTCTAAGTCAAGATAAAACTAAGTACAGATTATAATACACAACCTTACGTATTAATACAAATCAAGAAATAAGTACATTAAAGATTTTATCATGATATAAAAATATGTGCACAAAGGATTCGAATTTTTAAGACATGGTAACACTGGAGCGAGTCGGTTCTCCATTGGGGAGGGGGGAGTTAAGGGAGGATTTCAAAGACGTCGGCCAGCCTGTTATACATATGTATACAAGAATACAATATAAATATATATATAAATATATATATACAACATGTGTATCAAAAGCTTGTCTAAGTATACATTTCACCGCGCCATAATTTCAGTAAATGTCATAACAAGAGGACAATGCAATGAACAACAATGAAATAGAAATTACACAGTATACATGTGAGTAATACAGCCAAGACCTAAATGTATACATTCTCCATCATGGTTTATAATATTTCCGATACATCTTTATGTAGTATTTCATACAATAAGCATACAAGGATGCTTTTCAAGCTACATGACATTAGGCTACTGCTATACACTACACATCTAATATATATCCACAATTACATGGGATACAACTTTGATACATAAATATATTAGTCTTGGCTAAGTATGACATACATTGACATACATTGACATACATCTATTGTGAGATTAAGGTCTGGCCCTATCGATTTGTCACAAGTTAGTATTCCAGCTGTATTTTGTACCTCTTTTACAGTGACTACAATGTCATCCGTGTTTCTTCCGGCATTATATTTTGTAACCTTGGTCTCCACACTGGTTATGATGTAAAGACCTGAAATATTTTGGAGAGTTCCTCATATAACTCATTATAAATTTCTGTGCAAATTCTCCCTTGTCTCCTCAACCAGAGTACATGATCTTGCACTGTTATTTTTCGTCTTGCGTGGCTGTAGAACAGCTTTGGTTCGTCCTTTGGCAGCAATGTCATTTGTCTTGCCTCTCAGCTTCTCTCCTAACGCAAATGAATTCATTTCTGATTCTCTTTAGAAAACTCACTATTGTCTTCTGTTGCTAGTTCTCTGTACCTTTTCCAGGCCTTTTTTTTCTATATATTCCCTGCATTGTCTATTGAACCAGGACTTTGTCTACTGTTGTCACCCACCTCAGCCTTGTGAGGTAGGAACTGGTAAAATGCATCAACACAGTTGCCAGCAAAGAAGTCCCCCGTCTGTAATTTCTTTTCTTCAACAGGTTTCTTTGTGTCACCAACTCCTTTGAGCGACGGTCTCGCTTCATGCAAGTCGGCGTTCAATCTTCGACTGTCCAAGTGGTTGGGCACCATTCCTACCCACCCCCTACCCGCGACCCATCCCAGATCCTTATCCTGACCCCCTCCATGTGCTATATAGTCGTAATGGCTTGGCTCTTTCCACTATAGCTGCTAGAGGCAGCTCATACTCGTATATGTGTTAACGTTTGCCTCATTCTGGCCAAACACCAGGTCTAGTGTTACTGGTGTTACACGTCCTCTCTCTCTTACTGGTTCTGTAATGTGTTGTTGTAAGAAGTGTGTCGTGTCTACCAGTCTTCTCTCCGTGTCTCATCACCCCGGTGGTGGTCATCCTGACTATTTCCCTGTGGTTAAAATCGGCTAGAATTTCGATTTTAGCTCTTGTTCCCTTGCCACTTTGGCTGTTTTTTTTTATCTTAGCTTTAGGTAGTTCTCATTACATCTGTCATATTCTTCCCTAGACCTTCTGGTGTTTGGTGGAGGATTATAAGTCACTTCTACCACTATCTTCACGACTCTCACTGTTGCCATTCTTAGTATATATTCTTGCTGGTCACATTCTTCTGCTGATGTTACTTCTTCATTGCTGAGGTGTAGGTGTAGCAGCGTGGCTACACCACCTCTCGCTCAGGACACCCGGGCTCTCCTTATGACTTGATATCCTCGTGGGAAGATTGCATTTTCCATGACACGTCACTTTCATTTTAGCTATCGCGATCATATGCAGTTGTACTTCTATCCCTCTTTCCTCTAACTCTACTCCTTTATTTGCTATTCATTCTGCATTTGTGTACAGGACTTTTATGCTACGAATGACAATTGTTTAACTCCCCCCAAAGAGGCTATTTGTTTATGTGGCCGCGTTTCCGTGTGTAATAGGTGGGAGTATGGTGAACCTTGTTTGTGTAGGTGGGAGTATGGTGAACCTTGTTTGTGTAGGTGGGAGTATGGTGAACCTTGTTTGTGTAGGTGGGAGTATGGTGAACCTTGTTTGTGTAGGTGGGAGTATGGTGAACCTTGTTTGTGTAGGTGGGAGTATGGTGAACCTTGTTTGTGTAGGTGGGAGTATGGTGAACCTTGTTTGTGTAGGTGGGAGTATGGTGAACCTTGTTTGTGTAGGTGGGAGTATGGTGAACCTTGTTTGTGTAGGTGGGAGTATGGTGAACCTTGTTTGTGTAGGTGGGAGTATGGTGAACCTTGTTTGTGTAGGTGGGAGTATGGTGAACCTTGTTTGTGTAGGTGGGAGTATGGTGAACCTTGTTTGTGTAGGTGGGAGTATGGTGAACCTTGTTTGTGTAGGTGGGAGTATGGTGAACCTTGTTTGTGTAGGTGGGAGTATGGTGAACCTTGTTTGTGTAGGTGGGAGTATGGTGAACCTTGTTTGTGTAGGTGGGAGTATGGTGAACCTTGTTTGTGTAGGTGGGAGTATGGTGAACCTTGTTTGTGTAGGTGGGAGTATGGTGAACCTTGTTTGTGTAGGTGGGAGTATGGTGAACCTTGTTTGTGTAGGTGGGAGTATGGTGAACCTTGTTTGTGTAGGTGGGAGTATGGTGAACCTTGTTTGTGTATGATGTTTGGTTAGGCTCGGTAGGCCTACCGTATCCCTCCGTAGGGAGAGAGAGAGAGAGAGAGAGAGAGAGAGAGAGAGAGAGAGAGAGAGAGAGAGAGAGAGAGAGAGAGAGAGAGAGAGAGAGAGAGAGTTCGTCAAGTGCTGGTGATCCATCACCTTCTGTGTCCTTGTGTCTCCTCCATTGTTCCTCAAGCACTCTCTCCCTCCTTAACCCATAAGACATTTTTCCTTTTCACAATACACCTTTTTTTTCCCCACAACTGAGCCATAGTATTTCTTTCCTTCCCCACAATACACGTCACCTTCCCCCACAATACACGTCACCTTCCCCCACAATACACGTCACCTTCCCCCACAATACACGCCACCTTCCCCCACAATACACGCCACCTTCCCCCACAATACACGCCACCTTCCCCCGCAATACACGCCACCTTCCCCCACAATACACGCCACCTTCCCCCGCAATACACGTCACCTTCCCCCACAATACACGCCACCTTCCCCCACAATACACGTCACCTTCCCCCACAATACACGTCACCTTCCCCACAATACACGTCACCTTCCCCCACAATACACGCCACCTTCCCCCACAATACACGTCACCTTCCCCCACAATACACGTCACCTTCCCCCACAATACACGTCACCTTCCCCCACAATACACGCCACCTTCCCCCACAATACACGTCACCTTCCCCCACAATACACGTCACCTTCCCCACAATACACGTCACCTTCCCCACAATACACCTTCCCCACAATACACCTTCTTACGGTAATACCGCGATGACTGAAGAACAATTAATCCGGATATTATGGAGAGACGTTAATGTTTTGTCCAGTGCTCCATCTCCATTTCTATACCAGGAGGCCCGTGTCCGCTGGTGGTGTGTGTTCACCTGACGGAGTGTACCTAACAGTGTCTCCGAGGGAATCAGGTCTAGCTCTTTTTGCCTCGCCTATTAGTCTTACCGTACCTGTTGCCTAACCACTTGGGCTGGACGATAGGGCGACGGTCTCGCTTCATGCAGGTCAGCATTCAATTACCGTTCGTCCAAGTGGTTGGGGCACCATTCCTTTCCCCCGTCCCATCCCAAATTCTTATCCTGATCCCTTCCAAGTGTTATATAGTCGTAATGGTTTGGCACTTTCCCCCTGATAATGACTTCCTCCCTTCATTTATTATATTATGATGTTTCAGTTTAACTATTTCAAATTCCTTGGCCCAGCCACTTGGGGTGGACGGTAAAGCGACGGTCTCGCTTCACGCAGATCGGCGTTCAATCCCCTACCCTCCAAGTGGTTGGGCACCATTCCTTCCCTCCACGTGCCATCTCAAATCCTTATCCTGACCTTTTCCCAGTGCTATAAAGACGTAATGGCTTGGCGCTTTCCCCTGAAAATAATAGTTTAAATTCCTTGTTGTCTCTGGCTTTAAGGTTGTGGCTGGAGGTGGCTTCCACAACTTGCTCTGGTGGAACATTCCACGTGTTAACTCCCCGTACAGGGTTCGAGTACTTCCTTACGTCCCTCTGGCTCCTTTCTGCTCCAGCTTCCTCTTGTGGTTTCTTGTCCTTTCTCTCAGTCTGAAGAGCCTCTCTTCTCCACTTGTTTATATTCCCCTTATTATCTTGTAAGTCGTGTGGCGAGGTGATATTCCCCTTCTATGGTGCCAATGTTCACCTCAGTCACTCACGGAGTCACACACTGAGCCTTGTTCCCTGTGAGGAGTGAGGTAAAACCAACAGCTCCTTCACAACCAACCTCTTCATTCACTGGCTGTCTGACCAGCGCTCCTTGCTTCTGACTTAACCATCACAAGTCTGTAGCCTAAGGTCGCCAATCTGGCTAGTATATCACCGCCAGATAATTTTATATTAATCAGTGGTAAAAAATCTCAGCCTCAAATTCCTTGGTTATACTCAATACTCGTGTTGACCAAACCACACACTAGAAAGTGAAGGGACGACGAATTTGAATGACGTTTCGGTCCGTCCTGGACCGAAACGTCGTCCTCAATACTCGTACTCAGCCTCGGGCAAACAATATGGAGAGTGAAGATGTGAATAATTCTAAACACAGTATTAAAAATGTATAAATATTTACTGAAATGATTCTACACTTGCTTATGGCCAAATAATAATAAATAACCTTTAAATGTGGCAAAACACTTCAGTTGAATTTGAATGCAATTTGGCAACACCGTTCAGGTACGATAGAGGATATTAGGCTTCACTAACGCAAATGCTGAAACCTTGTCAGTATATACAGAGACTGAAAGCTAAATGCCAACAATAGGTATTGAATACTAATCTATAATTTATATAAGCGTTTTCTTTGAAACAAGTCTTCCCACTTAACAAATAACATACGATTTCAGTAGGCTCTTCACTCTTACCAAGTATTCTTACGGAAATATAAATTGACTTTACTCATAAAGTGGGTGCCTTGATCTGAGTTAACTCACACTCGTTCCTGAATAAGCATGTACAAGTGTACCAACACGTGCACACACATAACTGGCTCGCTGATCACAAGAATATTATTCCGTGATCCTTGAACAGTTTATATCAACGTCCTGTCACAAAGGGAATGGGGAGGGAATTTGATCTACCTTTATTTGATCTACGCTCTCGGCAGATGGTTGAAGTCGGAAGATATATCACCAAGGTCATCTGCTTGATACCTGGAGACTTCCTCTCTTCTCCCTCGACACCACAACAGTTGGTCTCCTCTGCGGTGTAACAGCTGACGGCTGACCTTTCCTAACGGTCGCCACTGGTACTCCTACTTGTTATTATTATTAACATCTTTATTGACAAAATTAATTAAAAGTTTGCCTAATCTGAGGATTTCGAATAAGTCTTATTAAGTGAGGATAATGTTGGTATTAACTGTCACGTAGGACAGAGGGTCATACACAAGACAATAGGTCTAAACTGTAGGCTGAAGCACATATATATCATGGTTACAATCAATGTTTTATTGTATGTATATGTGAAAACAACTTTCTACTGTGCACTGCCACACAAGGGCAGGGATGGTTCATAAGTGATGCAGCTTAGAATTAATATAAATAAAAAATGTTTTTCATTCTTTAAAATGGACAAGCAAATTTAGGATAAATTGTTAGGATGTCGTCCAGAACACCTGAGTCAATAAAATAGTTACACAGTTGGTGGTACAAGAGGCCAGGAGGTCTAAAGTCCTTTACGGTTTCACATTCAACAATATAGTGTTCTAGTGAATGCATTTAAGGTTTATCACAGAGTTTACAATCTGAGTATTCTGGTAGTGGCTCAGCCTCACTAACCTGCCAGATGTGTCTATAGCCAAGGTGAATTACAGCAATGACTACATCACATTGCCTGGTCCGGTTACTGTGCTGACCATACAAATACCTATTATTACAAAACTTGTCATAACTTTAATACTGCATCTTTCAGGTCTCTGGGCATTTCTTATTTCTTCTAAATCTGAATTAATTTCTTTAATTTGTATGTTTTTAATAATTGCATTAAATAGTCCAAAGTCATAATCAGTGTTTTCTTTCCTGCAAGCCTCATTGGCCAATTGATCTACAAAGTCATGTTTTCCAACTCCAACATGGGATGGGATCCACACAAATTTTATACAAGAGTTATTATCATTGGCAAAAATTACATTCCATTTAATATTACAAGCTACTTCCGACATACATTGTGATGGGTTATTTAAGGACTGCAGAGCACTTTTAGAGTCACAGAAAATAACTCCACCACCATTGAGCTTAAGGTATTCAGTGGCTAGATAAATGCCCAATAGCTCGGTCTGTGTCGTGCTTGCCCAGTTGTTCAATCTCTGTATACTAGATATGATCATTTCATTCCCTTTATATACTGCACACCCACTTGTCGAGTAAACCGGGATACGACGAGCTGGGTTTTCCAGACTTTCTCCGATCCTCAATGTTGCTCACTGCTCTAAGTCTTCTCCTATGTAGAATGGCGTGACCCGATAGTTCCTTCCACCAGGGTTGCACCGCTGTCCAGCGCACGTTGACCAGGACTAGCCCCAATAGTCTTTTAGTAATATCCAAACCCAGGAACGGCCCGCGGGTCGACTCTCGACCTCCCCCGCACCGCCTCTTGGAACACTAGGGGTCCCCTGATGCTACTGAGCCTCTTGTGACGACTTCTAAAGGTCCAGCTCTCTAGAACTTTCTCTGCAAGTTGCTCGGTGACTACTGTGTCCCTTGAGTACTTCCGGACTAGATGTCCCGCCTTGCGGGTCAAACCTCGCCTTGTGGGACCTACGCGTGACGACGCGACCTTTTGTTACCCAGATGTCCTGGGAAGCAGTTTTTTTTTTCTTGCAGTGACAGCTACCTGCTTTCCCGCTCAATCCTCAGGCGCTGACGTCACACCACGTCACGTCAGGGCGCTCTCTGACTCGTCACGCCCCCATGTTCAGCCAATCACAGTCTCCAAAACCCGGGAGACTCGGTCTCCGCATCCGAAGAATTTTTGCGGGATTTCGTCGCCTCTCACCTGAGTGATCCACTATATTTGCTGCAAAACTGCCACTTACCGCACGGGAGACATCTCCCGTCACGCAGGGTGCAGTCGCACCTCCACAGATCTCCAGTATCAGCTCTTGATACTGGTAATGGCTCAAAAGGGCCACCACTTACGGGCTATTCATGCCCGTGCCATCTTTTGGGTGGCTTAATCTTCATCAATCAATCAATCTCTCACCGCCTCACCACCGAACTTAAAACTTCAACAATTCAAATTTTCGGCACCTCGCCTCCCTCTGAGTATAATCAAACGAAATCAAAGGTATCTTCCGGGTTATGTACAAGTGAGTGTGTAACTTAACAGGAGGGAGAGGAGTGTATTTAGCCGGTCGACGTAACTCGTAAATATCCTCCTGTTCCTGCTATCCTCTGGGGTTGTGAGATTTAGTTCCATTAACTTATTCTTGTAGTTTAACGCTCTT